ATTTAAAACTCTTTCACCTAGAGAACATGGCAAGTTGTTTTTATTTTTTAATATATGTATGTGATGTTTTGACTGAGGTGTTAAACAGAGAATCATCTTTGCTTTAATATGGGGCAAACAAATGTTCTGTTAGAGTTAATGTGGTTTAATTAGAAAAACTCAGTGAATCTTACAGACAGCCTGCGCGCACAGCGACATGCTCATACAGCAGTCTCTCAGGAGGAGAGTTTAGTCACTCACACAGAGTTGGACAGATCTCTTCAATAACAACATTCTGAAAACATATTTAATATAAAGTTAGGTTTTACAGACCAAAGTCTCTGGTAGTTCAGGAGAAAAGTGGAGGAGATGTATGGACTGATTGCTGCAGCAGCTCGAGTCGTCTCGAGCCGGCCCGCTGCTTCAACCAAACATGCTCTCACTGAAAATCCCGCCCTGCTCTGCTCTGATTGGACAAAACAGCTCTGGACTTGTTCTGATTTGTTGAAGGCAGTGTCTGTTTAATCCCTATATCAGGGTCCCGCTCTGGCGCACCGAACAATGATCCATTCACACCAGTGCAGCTGGATTCTTTTTTTTTTCTTTTTTCTTTTTTTTTTTTAAGAAATCAGGTCACGTTTGTGACTAAACTGGTCGCACTCTAGAGCCCTGCTAGCTGTTGTTTTGACAGACAACCAGGTACAATCTTAGGTACGCAAGGGAGCTTTATGACGTCCCATCTGGTATGCTTTTTCCTTTTTTGACCGTGCATGCGTACCTGCGCACTGCTTATGTGCCACTCTTATAATGTATATTTTGAAGTTTATATGAGTGTGTTCTTTTGAATTGCAGTAAATTTAGGATTAAATGGGGAGATAAAAAAAGGGAAAAGACCAGATAAAGTCTGTTTGTTCCAGACAAAGGAAAAATGACCTCATGGCTTCAGCATCCAGTAATGGAGGGACCAACTTCCTGATGTAGAGCAGTAGGACTGACTCGTTTAGAATACTAGTCGTCTGCTCTGCATATAAAATCACACTTGTATTGTAGCTGATTGGTAGCTGAGCATAAAGAAACAGGAAGTCTGCCCCAGGTTTGGTTTCCAGTGGGCCCTTTAATAAAAAACAAAATCACAATCATGTTGTATTTTTGTCTTATGACTTGTGCCCTGAAGCACCTGAGAGAGTGACGTTATTGTTGTGGTTTTTAGATACAGAGTCTGCAGGGTGGAGAGGACGCCGTGGCACGTGTGGACCAGCTGGAGGTATTGTACTACGAGTTGCAGCTGCAGCTGTATGACATTCAGGTTGAGGTGCTGCGCTGTGAGGAGTGGCTACTGACTGCACAGCTGCAGAGTCTGCGCAGACAGATGATGGGTGAGTATCTGTTTAAATGTTGTGTGTGAGTCATGACCGATGAAGGAAACATGACAAAAGGTTTAAAGCAGGGGTTTTCAAAGTATAGGAGCATAAGCCCCCCGCTGAAAGAGCAAACAAACATCTGTGTAACACCCCCCCCCCCCACCATATATATATATAGACTCATTGACTTCTTCTGAATGGCCAAAAACAAAGAATAAAATTAAAAATAAACATAGATATTCTATAAAATCTATAAGATGCCAGAAACTTTAATTTCAGTCAGATGGAGTCAGCTCTTCATTGTGTTTGATACCAGCTATAAAAAAACATTATTTTGCAACTCAATGCTGATGTTCCACCAGAGCGACAGGATGAGGCAGTTTACTACGACGCCTTCGAGAGCCCTGATGCCATGAAGGGTGACGAAGACTTTGTAACGCCACCATCGTCTCTCAGGGATGAAGAACTGAGCATCCTGCAGAAGAGGACGCGGCAGCTGGAGGCCCGCAGGGGCCGCATCACTGCCAAGAAAGTCTACCTCAAACATAAGAAGGTATCTGCTCTCCTGATGCTGCTGGTTCAAAAATTCTTCTTGACACTGATTCTATGGCCACTGCAGCGTGGTACGTGACTTTATATGCTATTTCTTTTGTTTTTCTTTTTACTTGGTCAGGAAATTTGCATTGTTAATCACAACAAGAAAATGCTACAGCAACAAGAAAGCAGCACTGACCGCAGCTCTCTGCAGGTAACGTAGCAGCTTAATTTGAGTCTCTTCCTGGATGTGCACAATAAATATTCATGTACAACATATTAAGAAGGTTTTTTTTAATTATTCAACCAAACAAAAAAGCTATTTCACTAAAAAATTAATAAATCAAAAAGTTTTTGCAAAACAAACTTTTTTTTTTGCATGTGTTTTTGTTGAATCCTAAATTTTTGGTTGATTCTCTAAGTTTTTGGTTGAATACAAAAGTGTTTTGAACTCAGAGAACATGAAAATCCAGGGCGGGGCCTAAGGAGGAACTGCTGTAAGATGTGTCCCTCTTGATTAGTGTGGAGTGAAGCGATTTCCTGGTGTGTGTTCCTGGTAGTTTTGCTGTAGTCATGAAGCAGAAGAAGCACGCTGGACGGTGAGAGTTGCAGGGCAAGCCACACGCAGATCTTCTCCAAGTGGTCCTCGGATGTTTACTCTCTTTCCTGGAAAACAGAAGATGGGATGGGAGGGTGGAGGAGGCTAACCTTTGTTGCAGGGCTTTTGTCCGTAAAATATGAAAATAAAAATAATAAATCCACCTCAGATTTTGATTAACCTTTCAGGGAAATTCTATCACTTAGAGCTACGGCCAACAGAAATTTCAGTCAAATCGCACAACAGGTTCAGTAGTTGGATTTTGGTTTTCTAAGATTAAATATATTCCCCTCTCACACAAAAGTTTCTGGAAATATTTAACGCACCACAGAGATCAGCTGATTAAATTCAATTTTAATTCAGTTTATTTATATAGCGCCAAGTCACAACATATGTTGTCTCATGGCACAGTACATAAAAAAGAACAATCTAAAGAAGAAACCAGCAGATTGTGTTGAATCACTGGTTGCCTTCCAACCAAGGAAGTAGATGAGGGACAGTCTGCACAGAATGTATGGGACTGACATCAAACTGACATCTTACATCTCCCTCTAATAACAGACATTTATTGGACTGACAACATTCCATTTGAAGCAGGTGCACCAGGAAGTCACTTCAGTCCACACTAACCAATAAGGACACGTCTTACAGCAGTTCCTCCTCCGGCCCCGCCCCGGGTGTTCATGTTCTCTGAGTTTGAAACTTTTTTGAGTTCAACCAAAAACTTAGATAATCAACCAAACGTCTGAGATTCAACCAAATGACGTGGAAAAAAAAGGTTTTGGAAAAAACATTTGATTGAATTTATTTATTTATTTATTTTAATTGAAATAGCTTGATTGTTTGGTTGAAATTATTTTTTTGATTAAATTTTTTTTGATGAAAACTACTTTTTTTGTTTGACTAAATAATAAAAAGACAAAATTACCTTAATAACATATTAGCTTTTTAGTGTAGGCTTAAATATAGCAGCCAGACTTGTACACGAGTTTATCAAACTCTATCAAATGCTGCCAAAGACAAAAGTTTGTGTTTTTAGCAAAACATCTCTTGATGTACTTGATGGATTTTATAAACTCTCATTGTGTCTGCGTGTGTGTGTGTGTGTGTGTGTGTGTGTGTGTGTGTGTGTGTGTGTGTG